TTAATCTTATAGTGCAGGTACCCCAGTCGATGCCGACAGTAACTTGGCAACTGTCACTCGGACAGTCAGTCTGTTCACATGACACAAGAACGGGAACACGTGAGCTGCACGTGCGAAAACTGAATCAGATTGACAGCGTCTTTCCAGTGTCTGGTTGACTGCCATCGCTTGAAATTTGAACTTTGGTTTAAAATGCCATTTACGTCACACTTTCACTACATTAGGGGATAGAACATGACAAGTGACTTATAAACACAATTGTCATTGGTCTGTAACCAGCTAAACTGTGACTTATCATGTTTTTCTGAATCGATATTTTATTTGGATAATTAGGACATAAACATAGGCTACTGTGTTGGAAAATCAGGGGTATATAACTAAATTATAATACCTCTAGTCGATAAATTTGATTTAAAACCGAACGCGACCCGTGAAATTTAGAGGTAGCCTATTATTTCTCAAAGCATTTGCATAATGGCCAACGGACATTATCTCTACTAACAGTATGCACTTTCAGAATGTCCTTTTCTAGAAGTAATGAAAAACTAATCTAGAGTCTGGTTAGTCTAAGCATCGCAGACTTACTTTATTCAGCTGAAATGTCTTCTATACGAGGGGCACTGGAGTTGCGGGGTAGTGGTTATTTAAAGCGTTCGGTCGTCACACCGGAGACCCGGGTTCGATTCCCCACTTAGGTTAAATGTGTGAAGCCCATTTCTGGTGTCCCCCGCCTGTGACAGGCTGTTAACAGGACAGGGTTGTGTGGGAAGAGTAAAGACACTAACTGGTGGATTACTGGATCTCACAAACTGTGTTGTGTTAGTAGTAAGTCAGTGAATGAGTTTAGTTTTACGCCGCTATAAGCAATATTCCAGCACTATCAGCGGGGTAACGAACGAACACTTTAACCACTAGGCTACTCCAATGTGTTAATAAATAGCGTGAGGTACTCAAAAAGGTTTTAGTAGTGAAACTAACAATAACTAAAGTATTGTTTTATGGATGGTTTGAGTTTGATTTGAAGTTTGTATAATATTTATTCCGTTGTTTTATTCAACGTATATCTCACGATTTCTGATGGCACAGTTCTCGCCTTAAAACATGATAGAGCGTTGTCTTCAGTTTATCTTGTCGAAATATATTCTGTCGCCAGGCATGAGCATCGTTCTACGCAATAGGGGAACCGATGACATGTGTCGACATGTCAGTGAGCCTGACCACCCGATCCCGTTAGTCGCGTCTTACGACAAACGTGAGTTACCTTAGCCTACTTCTAACCCGGATCTTCACGGGATCCAAGAAAACATCAGTACCACACCAGAGAAGGATGTCCCTACCATAAGGAAGAGGTGGGTAGCTGAGTTTAAGTGTGGCTTGGATAGCTCCAAGACGGTACCTTTTCTGTCACTAGTGCATGCCATGCATCAGTCCGTTTAGTTCCAAAGCTTCTGTTCAAAACTTTGGGTCAAAAACGACCTACAATCTGTATTGTAATTTCAACATGTCTAATCATAATCTAGCTCTGTTTGTGACTGTTCTAGAAGGGTTCTGGGTCGGTGGGGTAGCCTAGTGGTTAAAGCGTCCGCTCGTCGCTGAAGACCCGGGTTCGATTCCCCACATGGGTACAATGTGTGACGCCCATTTCGGGTGTCCCCCTCTGTGATATTGCTGGAATATTGCTAAAAGCGGCGTACAACCGTACAAACTCACTCGCTCACTCACTCACCCTAGAAAGGTTCTTACTATAGATGAAACATCAGTTTGATCTCCTAAGGTCAAACCTATTTACTAGAGGCTCAGAACGTATCACCCATCGTCATATGACGACGCGACTGAACCTTAATATACTATAAATCAATTTAGTCAACAGAAAAAGTTTCAAGACAAAATTCACTAAATTTGTAATAAGCTACTGGGCTTTGATCATCCTAGCAGTGTAACGTCCTTCGCGTATTTAACAAAATTGTGTCCCTCGGATACCCAACCAAAGTAACATTGCAACCCACTCAGTACCCATATTTGGGCATTGCTTTCATATATCTGTGTGCGTGTCTAACCAGGCATAAGCGTTGTCTCTCCTACTTAAGGCACAATGTACAATAGACCGTGTTTAATTTAATCCAGTTCAAAACAGTTTTGTTTCAAGTGAGACGTTTGTCCACACGGGAACACGCAGTCATGTAGCGGAAAGAATGACACATAACACGCCCTCTAGATAACATGCTGGAATATAAATCGTATATTCGTTGTTCCCCGGTAGATAGGTGGATGGGTGATTGCTGCAGGGCGTAGTCTGTCCCAGCTTGCCTGTAACGTCTCTCGGCGACGTGGACGTTGAACCTGACAACAGGATCAACGACGGCATGTGTGACACCAGTGGAAGGTTGTGGGCAGGTGAAGAGAACGGCCTCCAACCCTGTGGGTTTGTAACGCACAGCTTAGCAGCAACATTTAAGGTCGCCATGTTACAAAAGTAAAGGATGGCACAGGAAGTCACCATACATCTCGTGGCGTATTTTTAGCCAATGTTCTTAAAGCTTCATCCCTATCATTAAGTGATGTCGACAGTGTTGATGGGAACTCGTTCAGATAAATTATGAAGAAAATAGAAAATACTAAGCCTATAAATACTATTCTGCATTTTGAATTCTTCCAAGCATGCGATAAGCCCGGTCATAAGATAATTAACATCGCACCTTCACTATTTTGAAGTCGTTATAGTTACGATGTACGGCTGTGTCATTACAGTGTCAGTCTCCTCCATAGTAATGCATACAGCATGTAAGGAGTACGGAGAACTCTTCATGCATTACTAATTACTTTAGAAAACAGAAATCCAACAGTCTGATGACAACTTTATGGCGTTACCGGAGATCAATGAGCGGTTTAATGGACACTAGTATAGACAAACACAGGTTAGACTGCCCAGAATACAGAATGATGATAATTTGTATGGACATACAATTTCATTAATCTGTCAAAGGCGACGTTTCGACATAGATCCTAATGTCGTTGTCAAGCAAGTGATGACATTAGAATCTATGTCATGTCGAAATGGCACCTTTCACAGAATTGAGAAGTTATAAAATTATCATCATTCTTCATCACCTCAACTTCTAAAATGCCCATCAAAGAAGTTCCATTAATCCAAAGCTGAGGATGACAAATGTTGTGGTGTTTATAAGTTATAACCCGCTTCAACTGTCAGAGAGAGAGAAAGGTAACCCAGAAGGTCAAGGGCGTGACGCTGTCAAACCGACTGGGTGGTCAGAAGGTAGTAAAGACAATGTTTCAAACGGACTCACTGATACGGAGAGTATATACTTTTCACTTCGAATTTGAAACATACTTAAGTAATAACCCGAACTGCAGGATCGATGCTTTAAAAGGTGGACATCCAGAATGACGAGAGAGGGGCATATGTTAGACGGGGAGGTTCGAACCTGAACCAACTGCGTGTGACCACCAGCAGAAAAGGCTTCACTGACGAAGAGTTCTCGACGACATATTTCTGGCAGGGTCACTGTTCAGGGGCACCGGCCATGCAAAGGTCGACCAGCAAATGTGTGCGATGGCTGAAAATTTACGATAAAACGATTTCCTCAAAATCCTTTATCAACAATGACATGTAAAAAAAATAACAATTTTGTTTCCTGATTTACATCTTAAGCCGAGTTTTTGACTACGGTGGGATTTGTCCCATACATACCGAATTGGATGAACACTCTCTTTCCACATCAAATGAAGCCCATTAAGCCTAACACTAAGGCATTGTCTCCCCCTTGTTGCTGCAATCATATATAACATTTCTAACAACTTATGGATACCTTAAGGTTTAGACCAAATGTGACATGTTATAAACGATTGTTCACATAGATGGAAATGCATGTTATTTCTATTAAATCATCATCGCGATTCTCGTTATTTCGGTGAACTTTCTAAATATTGTTATTTATTTAATGACTTAAAAACATCTAACTGAAAACTAACAAAGGACCAGAATATTTTTAAGAAGACAAAATGTGACATGGCACAAACAATTGGTAACAAAGCATGACCTATACACAAGGCCATGATCTTCCACAATCACACAAACGTTTCAGAAAGTATTAGAAATATAGCGCAGCAGCCAATGTAAGAAAACTCAACAATGCCCGAAGAGACCCTAGAAGATCCGGAGTTAGAGTTGGTCTTCACCCTCTCATGATCGTCGTAAGAGGCGACTAACAGAGAAATGTCTGTAATAGTGTAAACTCACTCTCATTTATTTCCACCCTTTCATTTCGGTTTACACCTATTTCCTCACCTGTTACAAAGGAATATGACTGCTCATACCAGAAGCCGGCCCCCTTTCCTCATATCCCCCCTTCATACATATTAGATCATAATATATAATGTATATCGGCCAGACCCTGCATTTGACAAAGCATTATTGAATCCTATACTATATCACCATTATATTTCCCATCACTGAAATGGTAGACACAATGCACTCATTAACAACCTTAACAAGTAATAAGTCAGATTGTGCGCATCTGTTGAAATAGTCAATATTGCACGATGACATGTAATCATGAACAACAAATTTGTTGCCTTGTAGCACACATGTGAGACCAATATGCAGTCAGATCAATTGTCAAAATGAGAGAATCTGACCAAAACCGGAAAGTCAAATGTCACGTAGACGAATTCATTGTCACCAAAATGACCCTCCCAGGTGTGCGTATGAGATCGACATTATGCATCAAAGTCTGACACCGTTGCCTCATGCTCCCAATAAGTGTGGAGATGGTTGACAAGGGAAGATCGTTCCACATTTTCGCTAATTGCACCAGCGTACGGTCTCACAAACACACCTGGGATGAAGCGCACACCTGTCAGTGCACCCCTCTGTAAGACATGAAGTTCGGGGCAACAATCACGATTTAGGCCTCTCCACAGCGGTAATGTTACATACGGTACGATCCCGAAACAAACACCTCTCCCAGACTTAGCGACGGCGATCCGTGAAGTCTCGACAGTAACTGGAGTAGCAAATTGAATCGTTACCATGTAGTGTACATGTGGGTTTACGCTTTCTTTGTCTTATCAAACTACGTCATCAAATCAGATCTCATCTGACATCGAGGTAAGATGATTGTATTTTGTGTGTTTGTTGCTTAATGTCTCGCTCGTTGATGTCGGTGTCAACAACATGCAGTTGTAGGTCCACTGAGATCGGTACAGCGGTAATGTATACAACTTTATAATGGAAACTATAGTAACCGTGCGTTCACTTGTGTCCACAAGAACAATCTGACACATATGTTATCGCGTTCAGAGTAATGTCAGAGTAACCTCAGAATCTAGATCACCGATGAGAAAGAAACTCCCCCTATCCTCAAATTTATGGCACAAAACATTTGCAGTACAAAATTAGACGGAAGTGATATTATAATCGCAGTCTGGAATAAAATAATCGTAGAAATGGAGGGTATAAGACAAATAGTGGGCCAATCAAATGCTCTCAGCAAGAAATCTTTTAAATGTATTTGACCTTATTTGCTTTGCAGAATGTCCATATGCATTAAGACAATCTTTCCAAAAATGGTTCATTATTGTTTTTGCAAGGGTCCATGGGAGGACATCTCCATAAATAAATAGGTTATGATAATTATGGTGTTTAACAAAAAGAAAACGGTTTCCATTTACTGTTTTCATTTGTAAATACTTTTCTTATCCAAGACAATTTTAGAGATTTTACATAAGAATAAATATCAACCATACCTAGCCCTCCTTTCTCTTTTAATCCTGTCTCTTTTATTATCCCAAACAAAATTGGAAAACATTTTATTGAGGTCCATTAAGAAATCCCTAGGAGGATTGGACAATGTGAGGAAACGATCATTTACTTTTGATACATTGCAATTTTCCCTAATGGTGTTAATATTCTGTTAACCCATCTGTTAATTATCTTTTGGATTTCTAACAATTTACCTTTGAAATTCAAATTAACCATGTTCTCCAAAGAAGTAGAAAATTTAATTTGAAGAATTCCGAAAATATCTTGATTCCACGCTCATTTTATACCTGCCATATATCTAACATTGCTTCCGGTATTTCTTTTTGAAACAATCCAAACAACTTGTGATTTATCATCATTAATCTTTAAACCTGAAATATGTTGTTTTCTCCACCTGTAACAAGGATTCAAACCAATAAATAGCAATCGTGAGTGAGTGAGTTTAGTTTTACGCCATACTCAGCTATATTCCAGCTATATGGCGGCGGTCTGTAAATAATCGAGTATGGACCAGACAATCCAGTAATCAACAGCATGAGCATAGATCTGCGCAATGGGGAACCGATGACATGTGTCAACCAAGCCAGCGAGCCTGACCACCCGATCCCGTTAGTCGCCTCTTACTACAAGCATGGGTTACTGAAGGTTCATTCTAACCCGGACCTTCATGGGTCAAATAATAATCGTAGAAATAGTAATAAAGTCAGTGATAATAATCCCCCGCAACTGTGGTCCAGCTTGATATATAGACACTTGACGCACTTCCACGCCACTGCTCACGTAAGAACCTCTCCTGAATCTTAACAAAAACAAGGTAATGCGATTAGAGTACTCTCGTAAAACAATAATATTATGTCCATCTATTTAACAATCCATTACACTGCTATATACCAGAGTGTTCCAATGTCCACGCATGTGGAAGGTGAGTATAAATAGCTCTACTGAGAACCCTTGTTGTCTCGAATGTGGGCATGACGAATGTTATGTCTTTGAGCAAGATCGTAATGTCAGAACAAAATGACTTGTTAGTTCTATTAACTCGAAGCCCACCACCTCCTCTCAACCCAGCACACCCGAACAGAAAGCCACCAGCTGAAAACTATATTTTGTCTATCAGATGTCCTACAAGGTAGAGATAATTCTGAAAGACACTGTTTCCACCATTGGTGAAGCCCCACACTGGGATGACGTCACACAGACGTTGCTGTACGTGGACATGTACAACGGTGAAGTTCACAGATATGACCCCGTAACTGGAGAAGAGGACGTCCTTGGTCTAAGTAAGATACTATAGTTTCATACTTTCATTACATATGGACTAAAATAATTGCTTAGCTTTGCAATATGTAAACATATATAAGTTAATACATAAAATAATCGTGATAATAGGAATGACTTTCTTATTTCTCACAATCGATAATCTTTCTATTTTAGTGATATATTCGCATATACTGGTTAATATTCAACAGACGGTGTTTTGGGATTCGTTGTTCCACGTAGCAAGGGAGGGCTGGTCGTAGGGCTCGGTCAGGCGTTCGCTGCTGTGGACTGGGAGACGAAGACCGTCACAAAACTGGCGGAAACAGATCCTGGAACACAGAACCACAGACTGAACGACGGGAAGTGTGACCCAAGAGGAAGGGTGTGGGGAGGTGAGTAGATCCTGGAACACAAAACAACAGACTGAACGACGAGAAGTGTGACCACACAGGTAGGTGAGTAGATCCTGGAACACAAAACCACAGACTGAACGACGGGAACTGTGACCCAAGAGGAAGGGTGTGGGGAGGTGAGGAGATCCTGGAACACAAAACCACAGACTGAACCACGAGAAGTGTGACCACACAGGTAGGTGAGTAGATCCTGGAACACAGAACCACAGACTGAACGACGGGAACTGTGACCCAAGAGGAAAGGTGTGGGGAGGTGAGTAGATCCTGGAACACAGAACCACAGACTGAACGACGGGAAGTGTGACCCAAGAGGGAGAGTGTGGGGAGGTGAGTAGATCCTGGAACACAGAACCACAGACTGAACGACGGGAAGTGTGACCCAAGAGGAAGGGTGTGGGGAGGTGAGTAGATCCTGGAACAAAGAGCCACAGACTGAACTACGGGAACTGTGACCCAAGAGGAAAGGTGTGGGGAGGTGAGTAGATCCTGGAACACAGAACCACAGACTGAACAGAACTGTGAACCTGAACACAGAACCACAGACTGTGACCCAAGAGGAAAGGTGTGGGGAGGTGAGTAGATCCTGGAACACAGAACCACAGACTGAACGACGGGAAGTGAAGTGTGACCCAAGAGGAACGAGAGTGTGGGGAGGTGAGTAGATCCTGGAACACAGAACCACAGACTGAACGACGGGAAGGTGACCCAAGAGGAGAGGTGGGAGGTGACCTGGAACACAGAACCACAGACTGAACGACGGGAAGTGTGACCCAAGAGGAGAGTGTGGGGAGGTGAGTAGATCCTGGAACACAGATCCTGACTGAACACAGAACCACAGACTGAACGACGGGAAGTGTGGACCCAAGAGGAAAGGTGATCCAAGAGGAAAGGTGGGGAGGTGAGTAGATCCTGGAGGTGAACGTAGATCCTGGAAAGTGTGACCCAAGAGGAAAGGGTGTGGGGAGGTGAGTAGATCCTGGAAACAAAACCACAGACTGAACGACGAAAAATGTGATCCAAGAGGAAAGGTGTGGGGAGGTGAGTAGATCCTGGAACACAGAACCACAGACTGAACGACGGGAAGTGTGACCCAAGAGGAAAGGTGTGGGGAGGTGAGTAGATCTAATATACACAACCACGGTCTGAACGACGGGAAGTGTGACCACACAGGTAGGTGAGTAGATCCTGGAACACAAAACCACAGACTGAACGACGGGAAGTGTGACCCAAGAGGGAGAGTGTGGGGAGGTGAGTAGATCCTGGAACACAGAACCACAGACTGAACGACGAAAAATGTGATCCAAGAGGAAAGGTGTGGGGAGGTGAGTAGATCCTGGAACACAGAGCCACAGACTGAACGACGGGAAGTGTGATCCAAGAGTGAGAGTGTGGGGAGGTGAGTAGATCCTGGAACAAAGAGCCACAGACTGAACGACGGGAAGTGTGATCCAAAAGTGAGAGTGTGGGGAGGTGAGTAGATCCTGGAACAAAGAGCCACAGACTGAACGACGGGAAGTGTGATCCAAGAGTGAGAGTGTGGGGAGGTGAGTAGATCCTGGAACACAGAGCCACAGACTGAACGACGGGAAGTGTGATCCAAGAGTGAGAGTGTGGGGAGGTGAGTAGATCCTGGAACACAGAGCCACAGACTGAACGACGGGAAGTGTGACCCAAGTTGTGACAATCATAAAACGATGTTTTTAGTTTTGATTATTTATTTAAGTGCGCTGACATCTGAGCCAGTTGGTACGTTCTACCATTTGTTCTACCAATTCTTCTAAATGTATTGCTTTACATAATTATAGCTCACATATAAAGCTTATAGCTAATGTATTTTCACACGTCCACATTAACCTTGGGGACAGCAAGGTAGGGTTGTTGTTTCTTTCTCAGGTACGATGGAAGATGACTTCAAGTTGAACGAAGGGAGTCTGTACTGCCTGGATACTGACGGAAGTGTCAGCAGGAAGCAAGATAAAGTCACCATCTCCAACGGTCTGGCGTGGTCCCCGGACAACAAGACCATGTACTACATCGACACGTCACCTCGCCAAGTGTATGCCTATGACTTTGATATCGAGAGTGGCGGTATATGTGAGTATAACAATCTTAACGTAGGTAAAATAGCTTAGGATCACATGCGTCTCTCAGACAATCCGTATACCTTGATGTCATCCATGGGATGACTCCACTCCACGTTCATGTAACCGTCAAGTCAGTCATAATCCGCTATGCATTCTACAAGGTATAAATTCAAAGCTTTCATCATTGTTGATAGCAGACACAACGCTCGAACGCACACGCGCACACATATATCGCTACAGTACGGAACAAGGATGTAACCTTTGATGGAAGAAAATACTGAACATTTTATAGCTCCAGGGTACTAGCGTCATTTCATGTCAAATTTTATGATGTCGTTTATGTCGCAGACTATTTTAGTAGTTCCATTCACTTTTAAAGTGAAGTAGGGTATTCATTCATTGTATCGTATGTACACGTTGCAATTGTAACTATGTCCATTATAAGGTGTACCAGACTTAGGCATAGAATCTACAAGAAAAACAAATTTAGAGTTATCTCCCATCCATCGATTTGCATTCGCAAAACATCGGTAATTTCCGTACATCATACGTGACTCAATTATTCGAGATAAAGAATTACTAACACGAAGTACCAAATGAATACCCACAGTTTGGCATTCCCAAACATAGAAATTCTTACTCGTTTGTAAGCACGGTACATTAAAAATAATAGAAGAGCGCTCAGCCAATCAGAGGTATGTACAGTCAAACGAATTAATTTCCGAGCAAAATCTTTATTGCAGCCAATCGCCGCGTTGTGGGTAATTTCAACGACCTCCCCGAGCTGAGCAGCAAAGACGTACTGGGTCCTGACGGCATGACGATTGACACTGAGGGTAATCTGTGGGTGGCCTGTTTTGGTGGCGGATGTGTGGCTAAAATCGACCCAAACACAGGTGAACTTCAAGTCCAAATCTTTATTGACGCTATGTCTGTGTCACCTGGTTCTAGTCTTCCATGGTCGAGACAAATAGAGTTTTCGCAGACTAACGGGATTTGTATCAAGGGGCCTGTGCAGTAAATGCACGTGAAATAATTCGATATGGCTTGAACCACATCAATAGTACTATGAATACGGATAACAAATATGTACATCCAATAAGTTTGAAATGTTTTAACAACCCGTAAGATCTTTAATGAACGGCAGTTACATCGGCATCTCTGTTGTTATCTATATTTTGCAACCTTCAGGAAAGCTGCTACAGAAGGTGGACATACCCAACGCAACCAGAATCACCTCTGTGTGTTGGGGCGGCAAGAACCTGGACGAGTTGTACGTCACCAGTCTCAGGATGAAGCCAAACTCCAAGTTAACGGTGATAGACACGCTAGATGGCGCTGTGTTCAGAGTTACTGGACTTGGAGCACGTGGTCGACCAGCGGATGTCTATCGTGGTTAACTCAGACGACACTTCAAAGACTCGCTGTTCTAATAGCTACTGTCACACATTCTAATTGATCTGTTCAAACCGGAGATGTGGTTGTATTCAGTTATGCCTGGAGTGAAATAGTCAGTATGTTCAATACAGATATGTATTATATTATGCAGTTATGTAAACAGATGCCAAGAATATGGATAGGTGTTCATGTTGTCATGCACTCTGCATCATGTGTAAACGCAGATAAGCATGTTCAAGTTCAAAGGTCAATATGATATCAGTTTTATAGCAAATCCGGACACAGATTGCATTTTTCTTACTTACTTAGGTATATAATATAAATATATATACATGTATAAGATAAACAGTATCAAATAGCAAGTCGTAAATGTTTTTTACCTTAATAAGAAGAAGAGGAACGATTACAGTCAAGCAATTTAATGTCAGTGGTGATGTGTACTGACCAGTGAAGATGATTCACCTTTATAGTAATCGCCCTCCTATGTTTCGACTTTGCGTGTCACCTTACTGAATGAATATATATAATTGTACATTGTCGTACATTATGATTTGGGGAGAATCAGTGGGAGACTTTCATTGACTTTATGTATACGTTTCAGTGCAAGGTCACACGTTCAAGGTCACACGAAGAGACTCGATACTTTCATAATCAAATATATGTTTTGTACAATATACAGTTACAATCTGTAACGGACACAGCATGGTTGTTTTCCAGCGTATGGGCAGTGCCAGTGTATGTATTGCAATCAGGACCATTTCCAAACATTGAATCCAGACACAGCATCCGAATACTGCACTGAATATGGTAAACCTAACACCAGTGTAGCAGACAGAAATCTATATCTTAACCCGGAAACACTCAAACTAGGACAACTGTGTTAAAACATGATACTTGTTTTAGTGAACAATTTTTGAACCCGTTACAATCTACTAATGCTCGTACTTGTACTTCAGAGAGATCATTTGATGTTTTAATTGGCCAACAATAAGGATACTAATATATTGCAGACCATGTGGCAAGCACTGACACTTTCTTGAAGTTGAGCACTGACAAACAGTATCTTTGCCGCGACACCTGACATGGTATTGACATCTGAAGCCAATCTAAAGGCATCCCCAGTAGAGAGGACATCTTATGCCCATCTGAAGGTATCCCCAGCACAGAGGTGGACTGAAGCTGGCATGCAAGTGCTCGATGCATCCCGTCCATCATATGACAATCATCAACTGGATTTATGAGTTCTTTAACAAATGGTGATTATCATGGTGAATGTATTATTCGTGAAAGTAATGATTAATATTATTAGTATGTATTGTGTCGATGTATTATACTGACGAAGTTTTGTAATACATTATGAATAATCTGGCTGAATACATTGTAAAATTACTAATCATATGAGTAAGGTTGTCGTCGTATCCCAGTTGTGTAGATCGATGCTCATGCTGTTGATTACTGAATAGTCTGGTCCAAACTCGATTATTTACAGACCGCCGCCAAATAGCTGGAATATTGCTGAGTGTGGCATAAAACTAACATCTTAATCACCTACTCACTGATAACATTGTTGATAGCCTCGCAGATAGCCTCGTTGACTGGCTCGATGATAACCTCCCAGATAGCCTCGTTGACTGGCTCGATGATAACCTCCCAGATAGCCTCGTTGACTGGCTCGATGATAACCTCCCAGATAGCCTCGTTGACTGGCTCGATGATAACCTCCCAGATAGCCTTGGTGACAGCCTTGTCGTGATCAAGCACGAAATACCGCTGTAACCCAGGCCATTGTTTCATGTGGAATGACCAACATTCAAACACTGATGTGTGGAACTTCCGGTAGTCTTGCAGTTTCAGCTTGGTCCCCGCGTTCCTGATTTCCCAATTTTGGGGGTGAGCCTTACCTCAGATAACTCGAAATATTTAAGTAGGTCCCTTCATCATCGACACAGCGGTGTTTGACTGTAAACTTCGTCCACTAAATCAAAAGTATCATACCAAAAATGTTAGATAAGTAGGATTGGGAGTACTGGTTCTCTCATGTTCCATGTTTTAAAGCAAATACGTGGCATGTTCAATGAAAGCCAAAAGTTCCATTGTCAAAAGGAATCGCTTCTAAAAGAATGCGACGAGCCCACGATTCTGACTTTATCACGGGAACGTGCTTAAGATACGTTTTGAATATGAGTGAGAAAATGACTGAGTTAAGTTAACGCCGCCATATAGTACACCAGTTGTATGGAGAGTGTCAGCTTAAGGTAAAAAGACAGCAGGAAGTGATGCTAGTCGCAGACGGTCACCGCGTTGTTCAAAAACATGAACACTGGTGATGAAATACACAATGCCATTTTAAAAAGTGGTCAAATGTAACATATGTTTGGGATTCAACCCAAAAAAGTACTAGAATCTGTACTTTTACTGAGAAAGTGTAATCCCAAATAAGACATATGTTAACACTGGTGATGACAAACATGATTGGGGGAAACCGGCATTCGAGCATGGGTTTCTCCAGATAGACAAACAGAGTTGCGTCCCCTTGGACGACTGGCTCACACGTGAATTCGAAAACAACGTAACGTTTTTACCTATAGTTGGATTAAGACAACCGTGGAGGTGGGTGAATAGTTTGTCCTTCAATGGAACGGAGGACTATTTTTATGGATATAGAACTTGTTTATTCTGTATAGGCGACGTTTCGACATTGATTCTAATGTCGTTGTCAAGCAAGTGATGTACTTAGTCTGTTGATGGTTGTGACTGCCACGTCTCCATGAAGACGAGGTATGACTTCTTTGATTGGCATTCTAGAAGTTGGGTAGATGACATTAGAATCTATGTCGAAACGTCGCCTATACAGAATTAAGAAGTTCTATACATAAAAATAGTCCTCATCCTTCATCTACACAACTTCTAGAATGCCAATCAAAGAATTCAACGAGAAAGAACAAATCATTTATAATGTATATGACTGACTGACTGACTGAGTTTGGTTGAACGCCGCTTTTAGCAATATTCCAGCTTCATCACGGCGGGAAACACCAGAAATGGGCTTCACACATTGTACCCATGTGGGGATTCGAACCTGGGTCTTTGGCGTGACGTGCCAACGCTTTAACCACTAGGCTACCCCGCCGCCCCTATAATGTATATGCAATGGCTACATGTTATGCTATTATTGATAGCACTTAATCTGAGAAACATGTTAGTCGATAACATTTCCATGAAAGACAATGATAAAATCACTGTCATATATTCTCATGACCTTCCTGTACACTCGGACAAGAGTGGACGATCAGCTCTGTGTCATGACCATGATAGCAAAGTGTCTTACTTTTCAACACTACACGTCCACGCACGTAAATAGGCTCTCAGCTCGACTTCGCTCCACTCTAACACCAACCCACCCAACAACGAAGCGAAACACAACAAAACACAACACACAACACCACATTACTACACATAACACCACACCACACCACACCACACCACACCACACCATTTCGGATGAACCCCACACTTGTTAACAAATAGGCACGCACGATAACGTCACGTCATAATCAGCTTCCAGAGCACAAGAACCCGCCATCGCTATGTAGGTTAAACATAAACCATAGACAATACTCAATTTATATATATGACGTGTGTGTAGATCTATGGTCTATGTTAAACCTACATAGCGATAACGGGTTCATGTGTTCCAGAGGCAAGAAATTCCAAAATCTAACACTGAAACCTTAGGAAGATAGGTCAAATATTGTCAAAAACGTTTTGAAGTTTGTTCAGTTTTGACACAGTTCATGCTGTTGGTCAGTGGATTGTCTGTTCCAGGCCCCATTACCTACAGACCGCCGCCATCGAGCTGGTACATTGCTGAGTGTTTTCGTAAAACTCACTCACTCACTCACTCGCTCACGCATTCACTTTGATGCAGTGATCAGGAGATGGCTCAGTACCGGAAGCCATCGTGGAGTGCCAGGAAAGAGGAGAGTCTTGTTACATAGCCTGGGAGCAAGGCTCCGTCATTATTTCCCTTATTCCCACCTTGTGGCTAGAGGTAAACCGACCCTACCCTACATAATAACGAAACGAGCGAAGGTCAACATTACAGGCCTATGTTGACTTTCCCAGCTAACACGCGTTATTCGGTCACTGTACGTCTGGGGGAACAAACTATGTGCAAAGAGTCCTTTCGGAGATTAGCGCGCTATATAAATGCTATCCATCAATGTTATTATTACTATACCTAGCTCTCCTTAGATCTTGACAATGGTCTTGACCTCAGGAAAGATTTAGGGACGAGCAGTTGGTTACCTTTTAATCCAAATACTACACTTGACCTTAGCCTCTTAACCTATATTCAATCACAGATTTTGTTATCGTGTGTGGCGTCATCGCCACCGAGGTATTTCACACGTGACATGAGGATGAAATGCGGTGGTTATTGAGCTGTATTCACACAGAAGGACGAGCCAGCACCGCCAGCAGTTCGAGCCCGCTACAACCACTGGGTCACAGCGTCATAACCGCAGTATCTACTCAAGGTAACAACGCTCATGGCTTCTTGTGTTTGTCGCAGAATTTGCAGTTTCCCGTATTCCGGGACTTACCGCAGAGTGTCTTTTGTGGTAGTGAGTGAGTGAGTGAGTGAGTGAGTGAGTGAGTGAGTTTTATGCCGCTTTCAGCAATATTCCAGCAATATCACGGCGGGGGACACCAGAAATGGGCTTCACACATTGTACCCATGTGGGGAATCGAACCCGGGTCTTCGGCGTGAAGAGCGAACGCTTTAACCACTAGGCTACCCTACCGCTCCTGTTTTGCTCCACAGTGCATTACAATTAGACGTGTGCTACTTTGGTTAAATACAGGAGCTCGGATTGGTGCTGACAAACCAGAGAATAAATCAGACCTCCAACCACTATATACCATAAGGTCCTGGCCTGTCAAAGGGACGCAACTCTGCACAGCAAATGAGGCGTTTTTTGCGTTTTTTCCACCGCCCCTACCCAACCCTGGTGTTAGTATGGTTGGTTTGTGGAACATTTGTTTGTTATCCGGCCGAATGTTGTTCAAATCGGCTCGCCGGGCCCCAACTCGATGTCGGCAGATGCTGCACGAAGGACCTCTCATACAGAACTGGGATTGGAAAGCCTGTTATGACTATAATTTCAAACATAAACATTTTCAGTGTAGTGTGAGATGTCCGTGGCTTAACATGGACTTGTTAGTGCACCACGCCATGAAACAGAACCCGGAGAAGCATTCAAATAATTTCCTCAATGCGGCCTTCCTTTAGAATACAGCACCACAAACTTTAAAAATACATCATAATACCCTTTTACGTAATGTAATGTGATTTTGTTCGAAAGCACGTTCTCGAAACAATGCCCTATGACGCCTGCATGGCAACACGGTTGTCTGGCTCAGCGGGTGCATAAAAGCTCCGTTCACTGGTGTTTCATCTCTACGAGCTATGTCATTGCATAAGCCCAACGATGTTGAGAGTTTCCAGTAGTTGGATACCAGCGGATGCGCAATGTTTTGCAAGCACCAGTTTGAAATATTTTTCTTTTTTCACTAATACACTCATATTTACTTGTATTACGGGGTGCTGAGGTGTTATGTTTTGTGTATTATTGTATTTTGCATTTTTTAAATTTACATATATATTTTTGTCATCCAGTAATTTGCACCATTAAATATTATAGAAAGTTTTTTATTAGTATTTTATTTTTCGAAGCGGTAATAATGCATTACACTTGACACGTCAGTCATGTTTGTGCCGGTTCGGTCAATGCATTCTATTTATTTGGATTAATTCAAGGGGTTAGGGTTAGGGCTAGGGTTAGGGTTTAGGGTTAGGTACATGTCCGGTGTAATACGTGAGTACCATTTGTTGTTTTTCCTTTTGCATTTTAATACTGCGTGTTCGGTCAATGCATTCTATTTATTAGGATAATTTCAAGGGATTAGGGTTAGGGTTAGGGCTGAGGGTTTAGGGTTTAGGGTTAGGGTTAGGGTTAGGGACCTAATCCAATATAATAGGTACATGTCCGGTGTAATACGTAAATACCATTTGTTGTTTTTCCTTTTGCATTTTAATACTTTTTTTCACACAAAAACGGGAAACCAAAAACGTCAAAAGTACACTATGAAATGGTTTAATGTAGAAATTTTGGGCTAATGGAAATTGGCCTGGAATTTGCACTGAAGCCACTTTCACACGCAACATTTGTTCAGTAATGATTCGAAGGCTAACTCACCCTCGTGCCGTCACTACACATGCTCATGTCTCCCTCGTTCCTTAGTGCGATCCACATTATCCTTACAGTGTTCCCTACATCACTTTTCTGTCACAAAATCACCGATTTATATAAAAGCGCGTCATTCATGCATGCACCGTGAAATCTACGTGTGACGCCTGACGTCAACAACCCTTTTCAGTTTGAGGCATATCGGCTCATTCCACGCCACACGTTATCTTGTAGATTACGGAATGGGACGAGTGTGCCAAATGGCATCGGGTCCATTCGGCAGGTGTCCGTAGATTAAAATCACGAGACACCAAGTCTACCCGTAACCTTCGTAATTGTCCGTGACCTATTCGACTCTTTCCGTTCATTTCCGTGACGTCACAGGAATGACTCGATAAATTTGCACATTGTGCAACAGTGTGGACGTAGCTCAGTCGGTTAGCTGTCAAGCTAACAAACCGAAGATCGCGGGTTAGCGTCCGACGGGTTCTCACAAACTGGTTGCTTGTCTTAATGACACGTGACCTACGACAGAGATCGTCCTCACGAGAAGTTGTGGTGCTGTATTCTAAAGGTGCTCAATGCTTGCTTGCGGATCCGACCATTGATATGATATGATTCCAAAGTATGCTATTAATAGATGTACTGGCTAACCAGTCAGAAAAGGGAGTCCATCAAAATCTATTTATAAGTGACGACGTAACGTACATTGTGTCAGCGGACCTGTTAAAAGACCAAGGAGGTTTGGTGCAACTTTCTTTACAACTATGTGTGTTTGTTTGTTTACCCCTGCATTAAGCATTACGCACTCTATTAGGCGGCGTGCTGTAAATCGAGGAGTTTAGACACATCAGTGACTGGCAGGAACAGCGATGGCAAACAAATAAACCAGATCGACCCATTCTTTGCCACAGGTATATATTTACAGGTGAGCTCTTACATACAAACCTCCCTGCCACATTTAAATTTCAGGTCTTTTTCAGAGTTTCAAGATGTCCTACAAGGTAGAAACAGTATTGAAGGAGCCTGTGTCAACCATCGGCGAAGGTCCCCATTGGGACGACGCCACACAGACGTTGCTGTTCGTCGACATCATGAAGGGAGACGTTCACAGATACGACCCAGTCACTGGCAAAGATGACGTCATCACTCTAGGTGAACTGACCGTTATCCCTCTAGCTATTTACAGATATAAATCTTTCATTTTTTGTTTCAAGCAAATGTACATTTGCAATATCGGTAGCAGTTCATCTTCAGATAAATCCCACGTTGACTTGCCTTTACATGTGTTTGCTACGGGTACCACCAGTGAGGCAAGATACCTTTCCGTGACACCTATTATCATCACATTTTGACAAAGGGCTCTGCTTTTGGCAGATTTGTTATGAGTATAGAAAGAGTATTTAGAAAATAGCACTGTAAGCAATGTGAGACGATCTTCAGACATCTAGGCCCATGTTTTGGTATGTCCATAATCTTCACTTTGTAAATAATGATAGTTTATATATCAGTTTCAGTTATAAAATTATTCACAATCTTGATTGCCATTGTGCATTTATGGAACATTAACTTCCCATATTTCTCGCCTTTCTGGCAAATGGTCTTTATACAGTATCAACACGACCACTTTCGATGTGATGCTGTCTGACACACCTACCAATTTCACCATATAACCTCACACTAAGGGCAATAACCTTTCACCTTTCATTATCTTAAAATTCCCCCGAAAGGCAAAGAAGTGGCATGTTTTTAAATCACAGGTTGTTGGGCCTCTCATGGTCATGCTTAAAGTGGAACACTGTTGGTCATATGTCTGTCTTCACTGGAATAAACTTCATCCCCTGGAAGTACTCATATTACTAGTATGTCATTTTTACATGGATCGTATTCTTCAGACGATGTTGTGGGATTCGTTGTTCCTCGCAGCAAGGGCGGGCTGGTCATAGCTCTCGGTCTGGCGTTCGCATCATTGGACTGGGAGACGAAGACGGTTACAAAACTGGCGGAAACAGATCCTGGAACACAGAACCACAGACTGAACGACGGGAAGTGTGATCCAAGAGGAAGGGTGTGGGGAGGTGAGTAGATCTAATATACACAACCACGGTCTGAACGACGGGAAGTGTGACCAAACAGGTAGGTGAGTAGATCTTAGAGCACATGTCCGTGAAACACTAAACATAGGCTCCACATCTCTTGTTGCGTTGACACTGGTCATACCTCTCAATGCATAATTGTAATTGGATTTTCTGGATTTCATACTGTTATCATTTTCATTTGCCTAATACAGGAAGTAGAGTTCTTCAACTCCTCCCCCCCCCCTATTTCATTAAGGGTAAGGCCACAAAAACACGTAAATGCTGTATATTTTATATGAATTGTGTGTTTCCTAGGTACCATGGACAAAGAGTTTGCCCCCAGGGAAGGTGGTCTGTACTGCCTTGACACAGATGGCACTCTGAGCAAACAGGACGAGAACTTCACCATCTCAAACGGCATGGCGTGGTCCCCGGACAACAAGACCATGTACTTCAACGACACGACGCCTCGGGAAATCTACGCTTACGACTACGACATCGACACAGGCAAAATATGTAAGTATTTTAACATGGACACAGGCCAAATGTGATAGCACATGGAACATAGTATGATATATAGCACATGGAACATAGTATGATATATAGCACATGGAGGTGAGGTGAAATTGGGTTTAACGTCGTGCTTGAGAATATTTCGCTCATATGACGACGTGCATGCGTGTGTATCTGTATGTGCGGCTGCTTGTACTAGCCCAGCCTTAAGCTGGTTTTATAGTGCTAGCACACTGAGATACCATGCCGCAGTGAAGCATGAATACCCCACTCAGACACATTATACTGACTCCGAGCCGACCAGTCCTTGTTGTACCCATTAATGCCGAGCGCCAGGCAGGGACCAACAAGTACCATATTTTAACGTCTTTTGGTATGACGCGGTCGGGGATCGAACCCGCAACCTTCCGCTCTCTGGGCGGACGCTCTAACCACTACACCACGGAGTCTATAGCACATGGAACATAGTATGATATATAGCGCATGGAACATAGACTGATATATAGCACATGGAACATAGTATGATATATAGCGCATGGAACATCGTATGATATATAGCACATGGAACATCGTATGATATATGGAACATCGTATAATAAATAGCACATTGAACATAGTATGATATTTAGCACATGGAACATAGTATGATATATCGTATAATGATATGGCACAGTCTGCATATGGATTAGCCACGTACACCACAGTCTATAGTGCATGGATTAGTCACGTACACCACAGTCTATAGTGCATGGATTAGTCACGTATATCACAGTCTATAGCACATGGATTAGTCACGTACATCACAGTCTATAGCACATGGATTAGTCACGTACATCACAGTCTATAGCACATGAATTAGTCACGTACATCACAGTCTATAGCACATGGATTAGTCACATACATCAGTCTATAGCACATGGATTAGCCACGTACATCACAGTCTATAGCACATGAATTATTAGTCACACAGTCATAGCACATGGATTATACACATATCACAGTCTATTAGTCACGTACATCACAGTCTATAGCACATGGATTAGTCACGTACATCACAGTCTATAGCACATGGATTAGTCACATACATCAGTCTATAGCACATGGATTAGCCACGTACATCACAGTCTATAGCACATGAATTAATCACGTACATCACAGTCTATAGCACATGGATTAGTCACGTATATCACAGTCTATAGCACATAGATTAGCCACATACATCACAGTCTATAGCACATGGATTAGTCACGTATATCACAGTCTATAGCACATAGATTAGCCACATACATCACAGTCTATAGCACATGGATTAGTCACGTACATCACAGTCTATAGCACATGGATTAGTCACGTATATCACAGTCTATAGCACATAGATAGTACACATATATCACAGTCTATAGCACATGGATTAGCCACGTACATCACAGTCTATAGCACATGGATTAGTCACATATCACAGTCTATAGCACATGGATTAGTCACGTATATCACAGTCTATAGCACATGGATTAGCCACATACATCACAGTCTATAGCACATGGATTAGTCACGTACATCACAGTCTATAGCACATGGATTAGTCACGTATATCACAGTCTATAGCACATGGATTAGTCACGTACATCACAGTCTATAGCACATGGATTAGTCACGTACATCACAGTCTATAGCACATGGATTAGTCACGTACATCACAGTCTATAGCACATGGATTAGTCACATACATCACAGTCTATAGCACATGGATTAGTCACGTACATCACAGTCTATAGCACATGGATTAGTCCACGTACATCACAGTCTATAGCACATGGATTAGTCACGTACATCACAGTCTATAGCACATGGATTAGTCACGTACATCAGTCTATAGCACATGGATTAAATCACGTACATCACAGTCTATAGCATATTTGGATTATGACGACGTACATCACAGTCTATAGCACATGGATTAGTCACGTACATAGTGCAGCCCACTGAGATACCATGCCGCAGATTAGCACGAATATCACAGTCTATAGCACATTATACTGATTAGCCACCTTGTTGTACCCATTAATGCACAGTCTATAGCACATGGATTAGTCATTAACATCACAGTCTATAGCGGGGATCGGGGATCGATCGAACGCTCTAACCACTACACCACGGAGTCTATAGCACATGGATTAGCACGTACATCACATATCTATAGCACATGGATTAGTCATATACATCACAGTATATAGCACATGGAACATAGAATGATATAGAGCGCATGGAACATATTATGATATATAGCACATGGAACATAGTATGATATATAGCTCATGGAACATAGTATGATATATCGAATAATGATATGGCACAGTCTGCATATGGATTAACCACGTACACCACAGTATATAGTGCATGGATTAGTCACGTATATCAGTCTATAGTACATGGATTAGTCACGTACATCACAGTCTATAGCACATGGATTAGTCACGTATATCACAGTCTATAGCACATGGATTAGTCACGTACATCAGTCTATAGCACATGGATTAGCCACATACATCACAGTCTATAGCACATTGAATAGTCACGTACATCAGTCTATAGCAGATGGATTAGCCACAAACATCACAGTCTATAGCACATGGATTAGCCACGTACACCACGGTCTATAGTGCATGGGTTAGTCACGTACACCACAGTCTATAGTGCATGGATTAGTCACGTACATCAGTCTATAGCACATAGATTAGTCACGAACACCATAGCCTATAGCACGTGGATTAGTCACGTACATCACATGGATTAGTGACGTACATCACAGTCTATAGCAGATGGATTAGTCACGTACATCAAAGTAGCATCATGAGATACTTTCCTCACAATCTAAATGTACATCTTTAACAGTCACAATAATACAGATATATGTACATATTCCACGTTGCAGCAAATCGCCGAGTACTGGTCAACTACAGAGACATCCCTGAGCTGAGCGGGGAAGAAGTATTTGGTCCTGATGGCATGACGATTGACACTGAAGGCAACCTGTGGGTGGCCTGTTTTAATGCCGGGTGTGTGGCGAAAATTGATTCAAAAACAGGTGGGTAACAAATAATCCAGCTTCCTGTCGGACACAAACAGCTCTGTAGGGTGTGCATGTGTGTCGTGTAAGAAACGTGTACTATGAGTGGTTCGGAGCAGCGGCAGGGTGTGAATCGTGACTGAGTATGGTTTTACGCCGCTTTTAGCGTTACTCCAGCCATATCACGTCGGGGGACACCAGAAATAATCTTCACCTATTAATTAAACATGGGCGTTCAGCTAACTCAATGCCGTCGTTAATGGTTTATACACTGCTGATGCCCATAGTCGCCGAGAGATAGTTACTATATAAGTAACGTATAATGGTTCATATCCCGTAGTTCCAGCCAAGACTCCATCACACGTGTATCTTCATTTAGCTCTACATCCATACCTTGGACACAAAGAAACATACGATCCAAGGCCTAGATTTTCGAAGCTCTCTTAGCGTTAAGATAGTCGTAAGTTAATGTTAATGTATGGCACTTACGACTATCTTAGCGATAAGAGAGCTTCGAAAAACTAGGCCCTGGTCTCGAATCTCGGTTTTCCCAAATATATCTTTTCGTTTATGATGTCCATACTCGATTAAATGAGTTTCACCCAACGGGTGAACGTGAGACGTGCATAGCTCTGGGCTCTGACACTCTGGTACATCCGGAATACTGGTCAAAGCAGCAGCGACCCCAACTCACTCACTCACCAATATAAAGCCATCTACTTTCGTTTCAGGAAAGTTATTACAGAAAGTGGACATACCCAACGCAACCAGAATCACCTCTGTGTGTTGGGGCGGCAAGAACCACGATGAACTGTATGTCACCAGTTTGAAGATGCAGCCAAATACTAGTTTCACTGTAAGAGACACGCTTGATGGTGCTTTGTTTCGAGTTACCGGCCTTGGGGCACGCGGCGCGCCAGCAGATATCTATCAAGGTTGAACCTGAAAGATAGAGACAGATAGAGACTGTGCTTTACCGACTGGGATTCGTCTTGTTTGCGCCTAGTGTGGTGTAGAGTGGCTTTGCTGACTGTGTTTCAAATATTTCTTTTTTTGTATACATCAACTTATAGCCTTTCCCCCATGATGTCGTACTTCATATTGTGACCAAGGATCTATTCAGAAACAGAAACAGAAGTTTATTGTATTTTGAGGCCAGGAGGCCCCTTGAGGCCTTTAAGATGTTAAATACATTTTTCGGAGCGCTTTTATCTTATGATAGTACCATATGAACTATGGTACACAATGCCATTGATTCTGTGATTATGATAATATTTTTTAAAAGAAATAGCACCTTGAGGACCTTAGTGAGATCTACAGAAATAATACCCCACCACGTACCCCGAGGTTACACACATCACAAGTATGCACCACTGTCAATTTGAGGCGATTTCAGAGAAGCTAGGAGGCGACCCGAAATATGCTGATGATTGCTTTCGCTTCAATTCCACACTTTTTGTGTAACAATTGTACATGCTTTTTACATTATTTTCTCATGTTAGATAAATGCCAAAGAATAAATCTGTATATAACTCAACATGATATATTATACATGATGTTCATCCTCGTCGTTATCTATTCCACTTCTGGCAAAGAGAGGGATTACGGCAATGATAGAATCAAAACGTCATTGTAGGCCTAGTGCCAAGAGGCGCCGCAGTTTGTTGTGTAATGGCTCGCTAGTAGGGGTTCGAATCCTACATCATAACCGCAGAAATTGACTCAACATAATGCACATAATAAAAGGGATAAGCGGACGTCAGATGATGTGTTGTCAGTTCACACGTACGTATGGTGCGGTATTGTGAAAATATTTACATCAGAAGAATAAACAAGGCAAACCTTGTGGATTTTAACACAAAGGACACTTTACAAATGTACAAGCTGAGGATACATTGTTATTTAGTGTCATCACCATAGTCAGTAATCGTTGAAAACCTTCTGGATCCGGTTCAAACAGAGGAATTGATTATCACGAGGCACGTGCTTGGTGCGTTATTGATAAGAGGCTCTGTAACGAGCTGATACAAATATGCGTGATTCACTCCTGGATAAAGCTTACTGAACCCATTTTGTGACACTCAGTCGTTCGTCAGTTGGTCATGACCGACATGATTCTCGGGTCTTTCAGGTCAGGGGAGGTCTTCGAGGTTCTCCCTGCCACGCATACAGTCTCTGACAACCTCTTTATAGCAGCACGGGAAGGGACTCTTGCGTGTTTGTTGTACTCATGTCGTCATGGCAGCCTTTGGCCTTAAGTGTTTACTCCATTATCAGGCAAGTTTTCCAAAGCCAGAGATCCCTACGAATCATACTGACTTATAACAGTGAAACTGTTAGGTCAACTGACCCACGTTTTCGTAGATATACCTTACGTAATGTCCACAACTGCTCCGAATTTCCTTCCATGTAACCATCAGACTTCATCAGTAGACATCGTATGTTAACCGCACTTGCAAAACAGTGAGTGAGTCAACGACCATTTGGCTGTCTAGGATGATATGTTTATGTACATGTCAACGACCTTCTGGCTGTCTAGGATGATATGTTTATGTACATGTCAACGACCATCTGGCTGTCTAGGATGATATGTTTATGTACATGTCAACGACCATCTGGCTGTCTAGGATGATATGTTTATGTACATGTCAACGACCATCTGGCTGTCTAGGATGATATGTTTATGTACATGTCAACGACCTTCTGGCTGTCTAGGATGATATGTTTATGTACGTGTCAACGACCATCTGGCTGTCTAGGATGATATGTTTATGTACGTGTCAACGACCATCTGGCTGTCTAGGATGATATGTTTATGTACATGTCAACGACCATCTGGCTGTCTAGGATGATATGTTTATGTACATGTCAACGACCATCTGGCTGTTGTTACGGTTAATATATTTGCCGTGACAAAAGGTTTAAGAGTCCCCTTTGAACCAGCAAAATAGAACACAGACAAGTCTAAAATATTCAATAACATATTGAGCAAACAATGAGCAAGTTACAATGAATCACAATACAGATTTCTAGTACAGTGCAATTGAGTCACAAATCTAAAATATTGGGTCACAAATATAAAATATTACTTCACCAGAGTCTTGACATTCACGGTGAGAACAGATATACTGATTGAAGGTTGTTTGCAATGACATTAGTTGAATATAGGCAAGCATGATGAATATAGGCAAGCACGATCGCTTTTGAGATGATGGCAGACAGATGTGTATAACTCAAGTCATGTGATAAATCCGACAACGCAACAACCAGCCTTTATATAGCTCTTACACAGTTCTCGAGCATTCTAGCAAAGCTTGGCAGCATCATTTTCCACTCAGAATGTTATAGAATCATGTGGAACACACGCCATGATGAAAGCCGTAACTAAACAAGATTGCCAAGGGAGGCAACTCTAAAGTGCTATCAAAAAGGCGTGCCGCTAAAAATACTATTGCCATTGAACATATATGATATGCGAGATGTGAGCCACAACCCACACTCAAAACTTTAAACATTGTGACCCATAATAACTATCACCTAATCAATGATAATACAAATTTAAAAAACACACTCTCATAACACTGTCTAGGATGGTACTGATACAGCATGACATCCCTGTTTCAGTCAGTTCATGTACATGTCAACGACCATCTGGCTGTCTAGGTTGGTATGTTTATGTACATGTCAACGACCATCTGGCTGTCTAGGATGGTACTGGTACAGCATGACATCCCTGTTTCAGTCAGTTCATGTACATAACGGCCATGTCAATGGTATGACCATCGACCATCTGGTCTAGGATGGTACTGGTACAGCATGACATCCCTGTTTCAGTCAGTACATCTAGCTGTCTAGGATGGTATGTTTATGTACATGTCAACGACCATCTGGCTGTCTAGGATGGTACTGGTACAGCATGACATCCCTGTTTCAGTCAGTTCATGTACATGTCAACGACCATATGGCTGTCTAGGATGGTATGTTTATGTACATGTCAACGACCATCTGGCTGTCTAGGATGGTACTGGTACAGCATGACATCCCTGTTTCAGTCAGTTCATGTACATGTGTCAAGGATGGTATGACCATCAACGACCATCAAGCTGTCTAGGATGGTACTGGTGAAGATGATACAGCATGACATCCCTGTTTCAGTCAGTTCATGTACATGTCAACGACCATCAAGCTGTCTAGGATGGTACTGGTGAAGCATGACATCCCTGTTTCAGTCAGATGCCGGACCTAATATCCATGTTGATACGTGTAATGGCTCATGGTATCAGGTGGTCACGCGGACGAGCACCTGTCGCTAAGGAGTGCATAGGTCCCAGTTACTCGTCATGAAGGTATTCAGATTAGATTAGACAGTCATACGGACAACATGGTGACAGTTCCCTTCTCCCTCGTTCTCCTGGCCCTGGCAACCACAGGTAAATAATTTAACCACAAGGATGAGATGTGTGAGAGTAAAACGTAATTTGTATGTGTGTATGTGTTTTTGTTTTGAAATAGACATACGAATTACTGTAAATTGGAAAGAATCCTATCGCTTGTGTTATCTTATCGATTGATGGTAGACATGTGCAACGTTTCAATAAATGTTTTGCATGTCAACAGTATATTTCACTGCAAAAATATGGATGTAATTCGGTCAGTTTAATCTTGTTGTGAACATTGGCCAAAGATTTAACGAAATCACTGGTGTAGCTTCTTTAGAATATATAAATTATTCTTCTCATACAGTTTGTAGACCGCCCGTCTAGGTACTCCCTTGTCAAAGTTGTCAAGGATGGTTTTACGTCCCGGTTTTGCTTTTGAGACGGTCCCTGTCTTGTCTGATTAGTTAACAATATTGTAAACTTGTTGGTAAGACATACCAACAGATCTACAAGTTCTGTAATAAACCATTTCTAAACTAATGAAAGGTTTACCTCTGTCTTTTTCAAGCACAAAAAACTTATAAACCCTTGCAACAATTGACTGCAAATAGTTGGCCATATTATGGTGTGATAAAGACGTGCATGCATGATGGGAAACTTATTTATCAAGACTTAACATTTGTATTAATATTTCTTCACTAAAGAAACGATAATTAAGAAAAGTAACAGAAACATTCAACATTTATTTGTTAAAGAAAAACGTTGATTCATATTTTTACACCACCTGTATTATTAGCATAAATGTAAAGACTATTTCAGATTTCTGTTGCTGAACTCTGAAAAAATCTTAAGTTGTTGTTTTGGTACCATATTCTCTCCTGTAAACTGCCCTTTAAATGCATGGAAATGTTAAATCGATTGAAATAAAAATTAGGTACACTACAGGCGAGTTGATATATAGACAACATAGTACATTTATCACCTTTATCAAAGTATTAAGGCTAAAAAGCATTTTTCTAGCATTTCCGACAGTACTTTAGTTTGTTTGTTTATGTGTAGATACATTAGACTTGTTTGAGTGGCAGTTTAGAAGTTGATACGTACAATATAGGACAAGTTTTTTAGAAGGAGTGTCACTCCTGCTTGACAACGTACAAGAATCTGTATCGCAACGTCGCACTCACGAAATACAAAAGTTGTTATCCATAAGAAAACTTGTCCTATTTGATACATTAGACGCCACGTGATCAGTAACGGCCACTGGCTAACAAACACATACACTGACCATACCGATAAATCACTCCTACACAAGGTTTGTAAAACAAAAGGTATTGTTCACCCACAAGGTTTGGCGTAATACAAACAGCAAACTGCCCAGCTGGTTAAATTGGTATCAGATAGAGGTAACTGTATCATATGCCTTATATATACGTTGTTTCGACATCATAACATTCACAATCAAAAATGGCTTTCTACAAGGGAATGAATCCGTTACATATATTAGAATTGATATATATTGTGCTAGTATTAAAGAGGATGTGGGTGCCCGCTCACTAACTTCACTCGTGCTCAGCGATAAGCACCGACATTTTCTGCACATTCTCTGCATGTGATGGTCATGCATGACACGCGGACACAATGTCATGTCACGGTGAAATAGTCACGGACACAAGGAAACCACCGTAGCGGACGCTTTACCAATATTAATGTTCAAGAAGGAAACTCTGCAGTTATAACAAGATACATCAACCGAGTCAGCGACCATGATTTGCACAAGACCCATACTCACCCTTCACAGGGTGCTCAATTGGGTCGACCAACAATGGCGTCCTTGGAACACATTCTATCCTCCGTATAAGTAACTGTTGGGAATTTGGCATGGGTTAAACCCGTTTGGGTTCGACACCAGGTTTTGACCTTTTGGAAACCAGATCCAGTACTTCAAACGTATACCAGTAAGGTTAAATAATGGCGACTTGTTGCCCTTTGACTACTTCCCCACCAGGATGCCTGGCGGCCGACAACACCCTACGCTTCATCGTGATCGGCGACAACGGTGGTGCGGACACCTACCCCTACACCACACCCCTCGAGCTGGGCACGGCCGACCGCATGGCCATGTGGGCGAAGAAGATGGGCGGAATCCACTTCGTGATGGAACTGGGCGACAACTTCTACGACTACGGTATTAAAGACGTGGATGACGCACGATTTCAGGTAAGACGCACAGACACAATACTCGACGGGTTTTCTATGTTTGTTTCAACGTGTGTGTGTGTGTGTACTGCTGCAGTATCTCAAATGGTTGAACTGTGCATTTTGTAGTGTTCTATACTATCTAAATAATGTACTGACTGAAAATGAAATCACTCAAGCACTTTGAATGCTCAGAAATTCGATTATTAAAAGGACTATTGACTGACGTTATAGTGTCGCGTCGTAAAACAACACACACTCGATACCTGCTTTCATATATGTTTCCTTCAAGTAACGTTAATCAGCAAACTGACAACAATCACCAGTTAAAAATCTATCTAAGCATCACGACGAGACTCGTAATGTGGGTGCGTTTGTTGCCATGTGTTAGATTCGCAACTGGTAATAAGAGAACCCGTGATATTCCCAGACATTGTGTGGCAATTCTTCAATAAGAACAAAAATTTCATTTATCTGCTCCCTTTTTGCCCAGAACACCTTCGAGGACGTGTACACCGCCCCATCTCTGCAGGTTCCGTGGTACATCGTGGCCGGCAACCACGACCATCGCGGCAACGTCTCTGCTGAGATTATGTACTCCAAGAAATCCAACAAATGGTACGTCACGTCAGTCAGGGGTACAATAACATTATTGTCGTACGAATAATGTACGGTGTTGTCGTGCGAATTTACTTAAATAATTAAGCGTGTGATGTCTGACCTTGTCGGTGACTGGTGACTGATTTAAGATGTTCGCTGTTTTAATCAATATTTCAGTTGAAACTCATCAGAATGTGAACAGCACCGTGAAAATCTGGGTTAGAATTAGTCTTCAGAAACCAATGCTTGTCGTAGAGGCAACTAACGGGATCGGGTGGTCAGGCTCGCTGACTTGGTTGACACGTCATCGTATCCCAATTACGTAGATTGATGTTCATGCTGTTAGTCACAAGATTGTCTGGTCCAGATTAAATTATTTAATATTCTGGAATATTGCTGAGTGCGGCGTTAAATACCAACCAAACAAACAAACATCATGTGAACATAACTGAAAAAAGCAAGGATAATTTTGGATTCGGACTTCAAACTTGTAAGTATATGCATAAACCAATCACGCTCAACGTTGTCCACCACAGGCGGTTCCCCGACTTCTACTACCCCCTGAGCTTCAACATCCCCAACAGTAACGCCTCCATCGACTTTGTCATGATTGACACTGTGGTGCTCTGTGGACAAGCCGACGATGTCATACTGCATCCGGAAGGACCCGAGGACGTCAAGGCCGCTGCTTCCCAGTGGGTCTGGATTGACCAACAGCTGCGTTCCAGCAAGTACGTAATATTTGTAGGCGCATCCTCCGCTCTACTGGGTACAATATGTCCACGTTTGTCATAAATACCTGGACCTTATCGCTGACGTAGTTTTGGGAAGTGAAGTTACAATGTCCATCTGTCTTATCAGACAACGTGCCGCAGTTTAACAAAGATAGCTCAGATACAGTATGCTGACACTGATTCTGTTTTATCTCTATTTATGCTTAGTGCAAGGCAGTGCAACAAAAGAAAAACTTAGACAACTTTAATATAATACTGTCGTGGATCGAATCCCCAATCTCCAACGCTCGGGGCATACACCCACTGTATACCATCGAACCAACCTCCAGCGGTATATGATGTTTACGAAGGCCCTGAGGGTGTTGTAGTGGGCGTGGTCCACTGTCGCTGCTCACACAGTAGGCGTGACTGTATATCAGTCCCAACCTACATTGGCGTATGATGTTCACCATATGAAGAAATGGGTGATACTAGTTGACAGGATAAGAGAATGTCCAATTTGTGTTGACACCCAGTTGGAGAAGACTCACCACTAGGGTTATATCGATACAGGATACGCATAATCACGTCAAATCGGGTACAAACTTATCGACTGTATCTTATTTCACAGCAGGCTGGCCGTGGATGCATGTTTGTAGAGGCTGTTTTCACTTCCAAACTTCAAACTCTAATTGCACCTCATTTTGCCATATTTGATTGTTCTGAACGCTGAAACGGGAGTCTGTCATTAAACGAGTTGTAAGTAATATAGCATGTGTATCGTCTTGTTTCGATACGGAAAAAAGTATCGTATGTCGCATCCTCTCACCTGTGTATCATTTCAACCCTAATCAACACGTACTGCGAAACAAGATCTTCAGTGAAGAATTAGATCAAGGACTCTGGACCAAGATAGTAAATCTATTTATTGCAAGGACATTGATATTAGGATAACTGGAGTGTAGGTCGAGTTAGGTGTTCTGATAACACGAGCACCTGTCCATTCATCACACAGCCACCTATCTGTACCCAGCGGTAACTACCTGCTCTTCTTTTGATTACAGGGCCACCTATCTGTTCACTGCTGGCCACTACCCGGTGTTGTCTGTCGCCGAGCACGGCCCTACTCTGGCCCTGGTGGCCATGCTGCAGCCCCTACTGTACAAGCACCGAGCCAGCGGCCACATGTGTGGACATGACCACAACCTCCAGGTGGGGTGACCTGGCCACATACACATAGTAGTGCACACTGACGGGACATGACCACAACCTCCAGGTGGGGTGACCTGGCCACATACACATAGTAGTGTACACTGACGGGACATGACCACAACCTCCAGGTGGGGTGACCTGGCCACATACACATAGTAGTGTACACACTGACGGGACATGACCACAACCTCCAGGTGGGCTGACCTGGCCACATACACATAGTAGTGTACACTGACGGGACATGACCACAACCTCCAGGTGGGGTGACCTGGCCACATACACATAGTAGTGCACACTGACGGGACATGACCACAACCTCCAGGTGGGGTGACCTGGCCACATACACATAGTAGTGCACACTGACGGGACATGACCACAACCTCCAGGTGGGGTGACCTGGCCACATACACATAGTAGTGTACACTGACGGGACATGACCACAACCTCCAGGTGGGGTGACCTGGCCACATACACATAGTAGTGCACACTGACGGGACATGACCACAACCTCCAGGTGGGGTGACCTGGCCACATACACATAGTAGTGCACACTGACGGGACATGACCACAACCTCCAGGTGGGCTGACCTGGCCACATACACATAGTAGTAGTGCACTGACGGGACATGACCACAACCTCCAGGTGGGGTGACCTGGCCACATACACATAGTAGTGCACACTGACGGGACATGACCACAACCTCCAGGTGGGGTGACCACATACACATAGTAGTGCACACTGACGGGACATGACCACAACCTCCAGGTGGGGTGACCTGGCCACATACATAGTAGTGTACACTGACGGGACATGACCACAACCTCCAGGTGGGGTGACCTGGCCACATACACATAGTAGTGTACACACTGACGGGACATGACCACAACCTCCAGGTGGGGTGACCTGGCCACATACACATAGTAGTGTGCACACTGACGGGACATGACCACAACCTCCAGGTGGGGTGACCTGGCCACATACATAGTAGTGTACACTGACGGGACATGACCACAACCTCCAGGTGGGGTGACCTGGCCACATACACATAGTAGTGCACACTGACGGGACATGACCACAACCTCCAGGTGGGGTGACCTGGCCACATACACATAGTAGTGCACACTGACGGGACATGACCACAACCTCCAGGTGGGGTGACCTGGCCACATACACATAGTAGTGCACACTGACGGGACATGACCACAACCTCCAGGTGGGGTGACCTGGCCACATACACATAGTAGTGCACACTGACGGGACATGACCACAACCTCCAGGTGGGGTGACCTGGCCACATACACATAGTAGTGCACACTGACGGGACATGACCACAACCTCCAGGTGGGGTGACCTGGCCACATACATAGTAGTGTACACTGACGGGACATGACCACAACCTCCAGGTGGGGTGACCTGGCCACATACACATAGTAGTGCACTGCACTGACGGGACATGACCACAACCTCCAGGTGGGGTGACCTGGCCACATACACATAGTAGTGCACACTGACGGGACATGACCACAACCTCCAGGTGGGGTGACCTGGCCACATACACATAGTAGTGCACACTGACGGGACATGACCACAACCTCCAGGTGGGGTGACCTGGCCACATACATAGTAGTGTTCACTGGCACTGACACACATGACCACAACCTCCAGGTGGGGTGACCTGGCCACATACACAGTAGTGCACACTGGCGGGACATGACCACAACCTCCAGGTGGGGTGACCTGGCCACATACACATAGTAGTGCACACTGACGGGACATGACCACAACCTCCAGGTGGGGTGACCTGGCCACACACATAGTAGTGTACACTGACGGGACATGACCACAACCTCCAGGTGGGGTGACCTGGCCACATACACATAGTAGTGCACACTGACGGGACATGACCACAACCTCCAGGTGGGGGGTGACCTGGCCACATACACATAGTAGTGTACACTGACGGGACATGACCACAACCTCCAGGTGGGGTGACCTGGCCACATACACATAGTAGTGCACACTGACGGGACATGACCACAACCTCCAGGTGGGGTGACCTGGCCACATACACATAGTAGTGCACACTGACGGGGACATGACCACAACCTCCAGGTGGGGTGACCTGGCCACATACACATAGTAGTGTACACTGACGGGACATGACCACAACCTCCAGGTGGGGTGACCTGGCCACATACACATAGTAGTGTACACTGGCCGGACATGACCACAACCTCAGGGACATGACCACAACCTCCAGGTGGGGTGGCGGACATGACCACATACACACACTGACGGTGCACACATGACCACATGACCACAACCTCCAGGTGGGCTGACCTGGCCACATACATAGTAGTGTACACTGACGGGACATGACCACAACCTCCAGGTCCCACATACCCATGGGGTGACCTGACCACAACCTACACCTGGCATACACATAGTGCACACTGACGGGACATGACCACAACCTCCAGGTGGGGTGACCTGGCCACATACATAGTAGTGCACACTGAGTAGTGGGGTCACCTGGCCCACTGTAGTGCACACTGGGACATGACCACAACCTCCAGGTGGGGTGACCTGGCCACATGACACATAGTAGTGCACACTGACGGGACATGACCACAACCTCCAGGTGGGGTGACCACATACACCACACACTGACGGGACATGACACATAGTAGTGCACACTGACGGGACATGACCACAACCTCCAGGTGGGGTGACCTGGCCACATACACATAGTAGTGCACACTGACGGGACATGACCACAACCTCCAGGTGGGGTGACCTGGCTACACACATAGTAGTGCCACATACACATAGTAGTGCACACTGACGGGACATGACCACAACCTCCAGGTGGGGTGACCTGGCCACATACACATAGGTGGGGTGAGTACACTGACGCACAACCTCCACGGGACACCTGACCACAACCTCCAGGTGGGGTGACCACAACCTCCAGGCCACATACACATAGTAGTGCACACTGACGGGACATGACCACAACCTCCAGGTGGGGTGACCTGGCCACATACACATAGTAGTGCACACTGACGGGACATGACCACAACCTCCAGGTGGGGTGACCTGGCCACATACACATAGTGGCGGGGTGACATGACCACACCTGGTGGGGTGACCTGGCCACATGACCACAACCTCCAGGTGGGGTGACCTGGCCACATACACATAGTAGTGCACACTGACGGGGGACATGACCACAACCTCCACAGGTGGGGTGACCACAACCTCCAGGTGGGGTCACCTGGCCACATACACATAGTAGTGCACACTGACGGGACATGACCACAACCTCCAGGTGGGGTGACCTGGCCACATACATAGTAGTGCACACTGACGGGACATGACCACAACCTCCAGGTGGGACCTGGCCAGCACCTGGCCACATACACATACACATAGTAGTGCACACTGGCCACATACACATAGGGACACTGACCCACAACCTCCAGGTGGGGTGACCTGGCCACATACACATAGTAGTGCACACTGGCGGGACATGACCACAACCTCCAGGTGGGGCTGACCTGGCCACATGACCTGGCCACATACACATAGTAGTGTACACTGACGGGACATGACCACAACCTCCAGGTGGGGTGACCTGGCCACATACACATAGTAGTGCACACTGACGGGACATGACCACAACCTCCAGGTGGGGTGACCTGGCCACACATACACATAGTAGTGCACACTGACGGGACATGACCACAACCTCCAGGTGGGGTGACCTGGCCACATACATAGTAGTGCACACTGATCGGACATGACCACAACCTCCAGGTGGGGACATGACCACTGGCCACATACACATAGTAGTGCACACTGGCGGGACATGACCACAACATCCAGGTGGGGTGACCTGGCCACATCCGCATGTGGGGTGAGTGCACACTGGTGGGACGACCACAACCTCCAGGTGGGGACCTGGCCACATACACATAGTAGTGCACACTGGCGGGACATGACCACAACCTCCAGGTGGGGTGACCTGGCCCACATACACATAGTAGTGCACTGGCGGTGACATGACCCGCAACCTCCAGGTGGGGTCACTATGTATACACATAGTAGTGTACACTGGCGGGACATGACCACAACCTCCAGGTGGGGTGACCTGGCCACATACACATAGTAGTGCACACTGACCGACCACAACCTCAAGGTGGGTGACCCACGGCCACACCTCGGGGAGCTGACACAATAGTGTGCGCACCTGAGGGACATGACCACAACCTCCAGGTGGGGTGACCTGGCCACATACACATAGTAGTGCACTGGCGGGACATGACCACAACCTCCAGGTGGGGTGACCTGGCCACATACACATAGTAGTGCACACTGGCGGGACATGACCACAACCTCCAGGTGGGGTGACTGGCCACATACACAGTTCAGTAGTCCACACTGGCATGACCACACCTCCAGGTGGGGGACATGATTCCCAGGTGGCACATACATAGTAGTGCACACTGGCGGGACATGACCACAACCTCCAGGTGGGGTGACCTGGCCACATACACATAGTAGTGCACACTGACGGGACATGACCACAACCTCCAGGTGGGCTGACCTGGCCACATACACATAGTAGTGCACACTGAGGTTGGGGACCTGCCCACACATAGTATGACCACAACCTCCAGGTGGGGCTCGACCTGGCCACATACACATAGTAGTGCACACTGACGGGGACATGACCACAACCTCCAGGTGGGGTGACCTGGCCACATACACATAGTAGTGCACACTGAAGGGACATGACCACAACCTCCAGGTGGGGTGACCTGGCCACATACACATAGTAGTGCACACTGACGGGACATGACCACAACCTCCAGGTGGGGTGACCTGGCCACATACACATAGTAGTGCACACTGACACATGACCACAACCTCCAGGTGGGGTGACCTGGCCACATACACATAGTAGTGCACACTGATCGGGACATGACCACAACCT